AGGCTGCGGTGATACCAGGCGGGAGAGCCGGCCCCGACTGCTCTCGGGGAGGACGGCGATCGGAGCCTGGCCGCCGGGAGCAGCAGCGTGGGCTCATCGAGAAGCCGGCTGTGGGTGGAGTGGGAACCAGAAGTCCCGATGAGGGGAGGAGAGGGCTGAGCCTAGGTCGGGGCTGGTCCCGGGAGGCGGCGGGAGGCGAAGAACCACCTCTGAGCAGTCGGCCTGGGGACGTTTTACCCGCGATCTCTCTTCTCCAGGGAGCAGGTAGACAGCGGGAGAGGGGCGGGTCTGCAGAAGCCCAGGAGGCCCTGAGTTCTGTGCCCCGTCACTCCCCAAGCTTTTGTCGAATAGCAGTACTGGTGCCCTTGCCCTGGCAGCGCAGCCTCGGGATTAGCGTTTCCACTGGCAGCTGTGGGGCTTTGGTTGTGCCAAGCACTGGTAAAGGAAGGTCCCAGGCTGGCAGCACCGCCATGGGAGGGTCAACTGGGTGCGGGGGCTCAGGGGCTGCTTTCGTTTTGGCAGTCAGGCCTCCAGAAGCGCAGTGAGCCAGACCTTGACATCTGGGAAGAGAAGCCCAGGCTGCAAGGAACGGGGGAAGATAGGAAACCCGTCCCAGAGACTGGGACAGGAGCAATGGGGTGCACTGTGGGCCATGAGAGGGAAGGAAAGTAGAGGCAAGGGTGGCAGAAGCTCTTCTGGGCAAGGTCTGGGAGGTGTGTGGGCAGAAGGGAGGGGTTGATGCAGGGCAGTGACATCTTCAGTTATGTTCTGAAAGGTACCTGGCAGCAGGGTTAAGAGGTAGGTAGGGGAGGCCGGAAGCAGTGGCTCACGCCTGTAATCCCAGCAATTTGGCTCACACTTGTAATCCCAGCAATTTGGGAGGCCAAAGTGGGTGGATCACGAGGTCAGGAGATGGAGACCGTGGTGAAACCCCCATCTCTACTAAAAAATACAAAAAACTCGCCGGGCGCGGTGGCAGGTGCCTATAGTCCCAGTTACTCTGGAGGCTGAGGCAGAATGGTGTGAACCCGGGAGGTGGAGCTTGCAGTGAGCTGAGATCGCGCCACTGTACTCCAGCCTGGCTGACAGATGGAGACTCTGTCTCAAAAAAAAAAGAAAGAAAAAAAAGAAGAGGTAGGTAGGGGGCCCAGTGAAGAGGCCAGAGTGGCTGACCAGAGGCTGCGATGGCCTGGACCAGGTGGAGGCAATGGAGAGGGAAGGAGGAGGGGCAGGAGTGAGGTCACAGAAATGACAGCTGCTCATGAGACCTGGGCTCTAGGCAAGCCTGGGGATGAAGGGAGAAGCCAGCGAGGGGAAGAAGTATGCCAGACCTCAGGGATGAAGACACTGGGAAGATGTGCTCTGGGCTGGCTACCCAGGCCTGGCCACCCACCGCCGGCAGGGGTGTCCCCAAGGACCCCCCTGGCTCTCACTGGGGAATCCCTGAGAACCCTGGGCTGTTGGGCTGACTCTGCCTGACACAGGCCCACCCCCTGTTGCCTCAGGGATCACCAGCCCAGGTCTCCACTTCTCAGTGATGGGGGTAGCAACAGCCCCCTGCAGTACTGCTGGTTCCACCCCATGCCGTCTCTGCTGTTGTCCAGAAACTCAAGGGCAGGGGACATTGGGGGTCACCTCAAGAGGAGCACCCAACACAGGGCTGGGCCCTGGGGACTGAAGGGGTGGGTGGTGCTCACTCGCCCCCTGCTCTCCTTCCAGCTATGCTGTGGAACGCAAAATTGAACCTTTCTACAAGGGCGGAAAAGCACAGGTACCAGCCTGGGGAAGGGCAGGGGGGCGGGCAGCCAGAGACCGTGGGGGGTGCCGAATGTTGCCTGGCTGAGACCCCTCTGTCCCCAGCTGGACCAGACTGGCCAGCACCTCTTCTGCATCTGTGGCACCAGAGTCAACATTCTGGAGGTGGCCTCGGGGGTCGTGCTGCGGAGTCTGGAGCAGGTGAGGGTAGCCTGGGTGGGTGAGGGGTAAGTGGAGGGGGCAGCCCACTCACACCGTGCTCTGCACACCACTCTTTCCCCTAGGAGGACCAGGAGAACATCACTGCCTTTGACCTCAGCCCTGACGATGAGGTACGCAGGGCGGGGCCTGGAGGGGACCTGCCCCAGCGCCTCCTCCCAGACTGAGTCCAGGAAGCTGTGAGCAGGGTGTTGCTGCCCCTCTGCTGACCTGTATCCTCCCCCAGGTGCTGGTGACAGCCAGCCGGGCATTGCTGCTGGCTCAGTGGGCCTGGCGAGAGGGCAGCGTTACCCGCCTGTGGAAAGCGATACACACAGCCCCCGTGGCCACCATGGCGTTCGACCCCACCTCCACGCTGCTAGCCACAGGTAGGGCCCTGCAGCACAGGTGGGTATCGGGCACAGATGCAGGGGCTTTGGGCATTCCACTCCCTCACCTTGCTTCCCTGCAGGTGGCTGTGACGGGGCCGTGCGCGTCTGGGACATCGTGCGGCACTATGGGACACACCACTTCCGAGGCTCGCCCGGTGTCGTGCAGTGAGTTGGGGGGTGGAGGGGGAGGGCAGAGGCACCGCCCAGGCTGCACAGCTCACCTATCCTGTCCCATCCTCCCGCAGCCTAGTGGCCTTCCACCCGGACCCTACACGCCTGCTGCTCTTCTCCTCAGCCGCGGATGCCGCCATCCGCGTATGGTCACTGCAGGACCGGTCGTGCCTGGCTGTGCTGACTGCCCACTACAGCGCTGTCACCTCACTGGCCTTTAGCGCCGATGGCCACACCATGCTTAGGTCAGCAGTGGGCCCTGGTACGAGGGGGAGGCTTGGAAAGTGGGGGCCGAGGCTAAGACTTGACCTGAGGTTGCTGTTGCTGCCCCAGCTCCGGCCGTGACAAGATCTGTGTCATCTGGGACCTTCAGAGCTGCCAGGCCACAAAGACCGTGCCTGTGTTTGAGGTGGGGATGCCTGGAGGCCAGGGCTGGTTGAGTTGGGTGGGGAGGGGGCATGACAGCAGCCTGTGACCCAGTTCGTCTCCAGAGCGTGGAGGCCGCTGTGCTATTGCCAGAGGAGCCAGTGTCCCAGCTGGGTGTGAAGTCCTCAGGCCTGTACTTTCTGACAGCCGGCGACCAAGGTGTGTTGGGCCGGGATACGGGCAGCGGTATGGGGCTGGGGAAGGCCTGTGGACCTGAGTCTCAGCAGCCCTGTCCCCACCCACACAGGCACTCTGCGCGTGTGGGAGGCAGCTTCCGGGCAGTGTGTGTACACGCAGGCCCGGCCACCGGGCCCCGGGCGGGAGCTGACTCACTGCACCCTGGCCCGCACCGCTGGCCTGCTCCTCAGCGCCACCGCCGACCACAACCTGTTGCTCTATGAGGCTCGTTCCCTGCGGCTGCAGAAACAGGTGCACACCTGCCCTTGCTCTGTCTGGAGGCTGCGGGCACCAGCCCTCCTCTTATCTCCTGCCCCCTGCCGCCCTGCAGTTCGCTGGCTACAGTGAGGAGGTCTTGGATGTCCGGTTTCTTGGCCCCGAGGACTCCCACGTCATCGTGGCCTCCAATAGCCCCTGCCTGAAAGTGTTTGAGCTGCAGACGTCAGCCTGCCAAATCCTCCATGGCCACACGGGTGAGTGGGGCCAGCCCACCTGACACCCTGGGACCTGCCTGGGTCCCTTGCTTGCTTCCCTTCCCACATCTTGCTGTGTGACCTATACCTCCCCACAACATCTCAGATATCGTCCTGGCCCTGGATGTGTTCCGGAAGGGATGGCTCTTTGCCAGCTGTGCCAAGGTGAGGCACCCTGAGAGGTAGGGGCAGAGGCACCAGGCGGGGAGGCCACGCAGTAGGCCCATGGACCAGCCGCTCTCGTCAACTCCCTGTCCCCAGGATCAGAGCGTCCGTATCTGGAGAATGAACAAGGCTGGCCAGGTGATCTGCGTGGCTCAGGGTTCCGGTCACACACACAGCGTGGGCACCGTCTGCTGCTCTAGGTAGTGAGTCGGGGCTGGGCCCAGGGGTGTCAAGGAGGTGGAGGCCCAGGCCTGCCAGCAGGGGCTGCCTCTCAGGGAGCTGGGGAGGCAGCGGCAGCTTTGGCTTGCTCTAAGCCTCCTGCCCAGAGATGTGGAACAGAACAGGACAGGAGAGTCCCTGCGTGCCTCGAGGGCAGTCCTCAGAAGCAGCCCTGGCGAAGTGGTTAAAGGGGGAAGGGAACTAGGCAGAGAGAACGATTCTGCACGAGGCCCAGGTGGAGAGGTGACCCCTGCATGTAGGCCTGGGGTCCTGTGGCTGGGGCTGAGTCACCAGGTGCTGCAGGTGGACAGTGTAGACAGGGCGTGATCCTACAGGTGCCTGGGGGTGACCCAGGCCAACCCGCATGCTGGGACGGTCCCCGTGGTCTGGACCGTGGGCTCCCAGGCTGGCCCTGTGGGGAGCTGGCCATCAGGATTGGCCGGGGCTCAGCTGTGTCTCCTCCTCTCCTGTTGGGCCACAGGCTGAAGGAGTCCTTCCTGGTGACAGGCAGCCAGGACTGCACTGTGAAGCTGTGGCCTCTTCCCAAAGCCCTGCTGTCCAAGAACACAGCCGCAGACAACGGCCCCCTCCTTCTGCAGGCCCAGACCACTCAGCGCTGCCATGATAAGGTGACTCCATAGCCACTGGGGTGGGGGTGTGGCCAAGCCCTTGCTGGCGGGGGGCGGGGTGCTGAGCCACCACCTTCTCCCATTGCCAGGACATCAACAGCGTGGCTATTGCCCCCAACGACAAGCTGCTGGCCACAGGCTCACAGGACCGCACGGCCAAGCTCTGGGCCCTGCCGCAGTGCCAGCTGCTGGGTGTCTTCTCAGGTCACCGGCGTGGCCTCTGGTGCGTCCAGTTCTCTCCCATGGACCAGGTGCTGGCCACAGCCTCAGCTGATGGCACCATCAAGCTCTGGGCGCTCCAGGACTTCAGCTGTCTCAAGGTAAGCGGCGATCCAGGCCCTCCCCACCTCTCGCCCAGGTGACATCTCATGCCCTACCCCCTCCTCTTTGCAGACATTTGAGGGGCACGATGCTTCTGTGCTGAAGGTGGCCTTTGTGAGCCGTGGCACGCAGCTGCTGTCCAGGTGAGTGGTCTGGGGCAGGGCAGCGATGGGGTGGGGGATGGCGGGGTGACCTGACGCTGAGCCTCTCCCCACCCCAAACCCAGCGGCTCGGATGGCCTCGTGAAGCTCTGGACCATCAAGAACAACGAGTGTGTGCGGACGCTGGATGCCCACGAGGACAAGGTCTGGGGGCTGCACTGCAGCCGGCTGGATGACCGCGCCCTCACTGGGGCCAGCGACTCCCGAGTCATCCTCTGGAAGGTTGTGGGCCCCAAGGGCAGGGAAGAGGCGGGGTGGAGTGGAGGCCCCATCTGACCCCAGTCTGACCCCAGGATGTGACCGAGGTGGAGCAGGCAGAGGAGCAGGCCAGGCAAGAGGAGCAGGTGGTCAGGTAAGGCCAGGGCAGTGGCGCCCCTCCCGGCATCAGCCCTGCTCTGTGCTGTAGGGAAACTGAGACTGAGCACCAGGCTTGCTGCCTGCTGACTCCGATGGCTCTGCCAGCGGCCCTCAGTGGCCTCTCCTCCCCTCCCCGCAGGCAGCAAGAGCTGGACAACCTGCTGCATGAGAAGCGGTACCTGCGGGCACTGGGCCTGGCCATCTCCCTGGATCGGCCCCACACCGTGCTGACTGTCATCCAGGGTCAGTGCTCACCCAGGGGCAAGAGGCTGGGTCTACGGACCACTGGGCTCTGCTTTCCCCAGCTCAGCCTTCCCTCCTCCCACAGCCATCCGGAGAGACCCTGAGGCCTGCGAGAAGCTGGAAGCCACCATGCTCCGACTGCGGCGAGACCAGAAAGGTTGGGGGCCGGTCAGGGTGGGTGGCCCGGCGGGCAAGGGCCAGTCATGGCAGATTGGCTGGGCAAGAGGATGAGGGTCCTGTTGCCCACAGAGGCCCTGCTGCGCTTCTGTGTCACGTGGAACACCAACTCGCGGCACTGCCACGAAGCCCAGGCCGTGCTGGGTGTGCTCCTGCGGCGCGAGGCCCCCGAGGAGCTGCTGGCCTACGAAGGCGTGCGGGCAGCGCTTGAGGCCCTGCTGCCCTACACTGGTACGTGGGCACAGCCTGGGGTTGGGGGATCCTGGGGGGCGTGTGGACCACCCCCCTGACCTCCTTCTTGTCCAACCCCAGAGCGGCACTTTCAGCGGCTCAGCAGGACACTCCAGGCCGCCGCTTTCTTGGACTTCCTGTGGCACAACATGAAGCTGCCTGTGCTGGCGGCCACCCCCACACCCTGGGAAACCCATAAAGAAGCGCTCCCCTAGCCGGTCCGGTCTCTCTCCAGTCCATCCTGAACCCCTGGAAAACCCATAAAGGCCGCTCTCCTAGCCGGCCCTGTCTCTCTGGACTCCAGTCCAACGCCTACCCTGGCCAACACCCTACCTAGCCAGCCAGAAGGGCACTGGAGCTGATGGTCTCGGCGTTACCAAGCCCATCCCGCACCCTGGCCTGGCAGAGATCCAGCCCGCGGCTCCGCACGCTTAGACGGTGGGGGTCATTCAGAACAAGCTTTACTCAGAGGAACAGCAAATACCCCCCTCCCGTCCTGCCGGCCAGGGAGATCCGCCCTCCCCGCTCCTCCTCAGCCCTGGGATGGCGCGGTCCATCCCCGCATCGGGATCCTGGCGCTCACCGCTCCGTAGTAGGGTGCGGCACAGGCATAGGGTCCACGCACCCTCGAGACGGGCCCTGGCGCCCTGGGCGCCGCTCCAGGGCCCTGCGTGTGACGGTGCAGCAGCGGCTCTGGATGGCGCCCGGCGAAGGTCGGGTGGGCACGGTGGGGGGAGGGGCGGTGGCCTGGGAGGCTTCCCGGGACCCCGGGGCCTCACTGGCCGGGTCGTCTCCTCCACGGAACCGCGTCCCGCTCAGGAGTGCGCCCAGCCCTTCCGGCCGCAACAGCACCGCGGGGAGGAGGCCCTCCCGGTCGCCATACCTGCGAGGGGCGGGGTGTGGTTAGGGCCCCGCCGGCCTCGGCTAGCCTCCCCCGCCCACGCCCGCTCGCGTACCTGCACAGCCACCAGCCGCGGTCTGACTTTTCCAACACCCGCACGCGCGCCCCCGCGGGCACGGACAGCTCATCTGCGCGGTTGCTCTCGTAGGCGCGGGAAGCACAGAACTGGGGACCTGGGAGTGGGTGCTTGGAGTCACCGCGGGGCAGCATAGGCCAAGGCCCACCCGCACCCTTCAAATTCTCCTTGCTTGAGTCTGCTGACCGCGGGGCCGCTCTAAAACCGGTTCCGGGCTTCCTCTAGGTGCGGAGACCAAGCACGGACTCCTGGGCCGCCCTGCCCGCGATGCTTCTGACCCAGTCTTGCCACACGGTCGAGCCGTAATGGTGGCATGAGGGGTGGGGTTAGGCGCATACCGCTGCTGCCTAGGGACCGGCCCCTCTCCCGGCCCCGGCCCGGGGCCGCCGCCTCCAGGTAGGGCGCTGGAAACCAGGCCATCTGCTGGTCCTCGTTCTCCACCAGCCACCAGCCTGTGCGCAAGAAGCGGGCGGGGACTCAGATCTCGAGCCTCCCTCGGGTCCAGGGGCAGAGGGACAAATCCCTGGGTTATTGGCGGGCCCCACCTGAGGGGTGCCGCAGCAGGACGTCCAGGCTCTCCTGGGCCCGCGCCTGAAAAGGCCGATTCCGCGTATCCTGGGTACAGAAGGGCTGCAGGCAGCGCAGGCTCTGAGTCTCCAGACTGTGGATGGAGAGGCGGCCCGCAGCGCGCGAGACAAGCGGCTCCTCTGGGGCGGGCAGGATCACTCGGCTGGGAAGGGCAGCCCGCACGAGTGAGAGGTAGGCGGATGGGGAGGGTGAAACCGGAGGCGCCACCCGGCAAGACCGTCAGCCTCCCAGTGTCTGCCCCTATTCGCTGGCTGTTCCCCCCACCCTACACCTCTCCCAGCTCCAAACGCCGCTGCAGGCTGGGAGTTTGGAACGAGTCAGGCACCTGCCGGGTGGCAGCGCGGGCTCCAGGTCCACGGGTTGCGGTGCGAAGAAGCCAGTGATCGCCGGGCTCCGTGCCACACGCTCTGCAGTCGCCAGCAGCCTCCGAGAATAGGTTTCCAGCAGCTGCAGGCGCGCCAGGCCGCGGCTCGTGCGCCCCCCGTGTGCCAACAGTGGTGCATCTTAAGGCACCACAAAAACGTGCTGTGATACCCCGCTTTGGGCTTCACTGGTCCCTGGCGCCCCAGGCAAACCACCGCCTTCCCCTCCCCCATACCCAGGCTGGCCTGACCGAGAAGCTTTGGGAGAACGCGGTCAGATCTCCGCAGCAGGCCCGCCTCCACCGGGAAGGTCTCCTTGAGGGTCTTCTGAGGGCAGGAACGGGGGCATCGGTCTTCCAGAGCCCACTGTGCACCCTTGGGAGGGCGGGGTCCCTCACCCAGATGGCAGGGGCTGGGAGCTTCAACGGGGACGAAGGGCCTTCAGTGGGAGTCACTGATGGGAGGCAGTCCAGTGGGAGGCAGCCGGGTGGGGAAGCTGCCACCGTGGCATCAGGGTGGCCCAGGGTCACTCACCTTGAGCCGCCTGAATTCGTCCCAACTCCTGCGCACGAAGGTGTCACTGCCGTCTGACCAGCGCACACAGAAGGCAAAGGTCTGGGGGACAAAAAGTTGGGAGTGCCTTGGAGGTGTTGGTCCAGGCACCCCCTTCCTATGCCTTGGGGCCACTAGGGACCCAGCCAGGTCTTACTTGGAGCCTCTTGATCTGCACCAGGGCTGCTCCTTGCACTGAAACTGGGTATCGGGGGCCTGCCATGGCCGTGGCCTCCAGGCTGCAGACTCCTGAAATGGGTGAGGACCCTTCTGCCTCCCTGTGCTTGAGAGGGCTCTGGGGGACCCAGAAGACTGTCTGGGATAGAATCTGGCAACGCCTCAAGCCTGTGGGGTCCTTGTGGAGCCGCCCCAGCCTAGTCCTTTGCAGCTTTCTTGCTGTCTCCCAAGTCCACGATCTGGGGGCAGGAGCACAGGGATTGGGGGACTTCCAGGCAGAGCTGCTAGGAGGAAGAAGAATGAGCTTTCCAGCCCTGGAGGCGTGCAAGACTGAAGAAGGGGCGGAGGGTAGGTGGAACTGCTGCCTGGGGCCCTCCTGCCTGCCTCTGGCCACTGGAGGAGGGAGAAGGCAGGGCTAATCAAAGTGCTGCCTGTCCTGCCCACCTCTCTGGATTCCCCTGCTCTGTGAGGTAATTGCCCTGCTAGGGTGCGCCCAACAACTCTGTCTTTGAACTAGCCTGGGGATTTCTGTGCAGAACCAAGGCCTCCGTGCTGAAAGCTTTGTTTTGTCTGACTTAATCCTAATGCTGGAGGAAAGGTCTCTTAATGTCCCCAACTAATAGGCAAGGAAATGTGTGTTAAATGCGTAATTATTGTGAGCTTTTGTGTACATGCTGGGGGAGGGGCAGACCTCACATGCTGAACCCAGGGGTTCCCCTGCAGTGAGGAGACTTGGGGTAGGAGAAAGAGGGCCCATCTGTGCAGTCACTGGCACTTGTTGGGTAGGGGTGGAGGTCAGGGAAGTGGTCACTAGGGCTGTTTTGAGAACCACCTCTCAATTCATGATTTGCCGTGACTTACTGCAAACATGGCCTGGGCAGAGGCTCGCTCAGGTGCCCCACCTCTCTGGCTGCTTCCTTATAGTTCAGGCTTCGGAAGCCACATTCAACCCTGGCACACAGTGGTTCTTCCTGGTGCTGGGGTCACCAATTCTGTGTTGGGATGCCCCTACTCCAGCCCCTTCAGGGAGTGGTCAGCCTCTGGGGCATCCCTCCAGGAAGCTGCCCTGGCTGCAACAAAGGGCCTTTGTGTGTCTGTCCCAACAGCACTGGCTGAGGCCCTCAAGCTGTCCCTGGTCCTGGCATGGGCAATGAACACCTGCTCACATAGGGCTGATTTGCAGGGTGCCCCCAGCCAGCTGTCACCTTCTCCCTGATCTCAGCTGAGGGCCTAGCTGACCTGGTGGGGTCCAGCGTGTGAACCCAGGGGAGACCTTGCTCCCCTGGAAGACAGGAGAGAAGCTGGGGAGGATTTATTCAAAAGCAGAAGCCTAGAGGGATTCTGAGGCTGCCTCCCCACCCCAGCTGACAGCCCCTGCCCCACACCCCATCAGCCCTGCATGGTTTCCAGTTTTTCCTCCCCTACCCTTTTTTCTTACCTGAATAGTACAGCCACCCCACCCTCCATCCGTATCCTCCTCACTTGCCCCTACAAAATTCACTCCAAGGACAGACACACCTGTAATCCAAGCACTTTGGGAGGCCGAGGCAGGGGGACTGCTTGAGCTCAGGAGTTCGAGACCAGTCTGAGCAACATGTTGAGACCTCTATCTATGCCCCCGCAAAATACAAATATTAACTGGGTATGGTGGCGTGTGCCTGTAGTCCCAGCTACTTGGGAGGCTGAGGTGGGAGATCACTTGAGACTAAGCAGTCACAGCTATAATGAACAAGATCGTGCCACTGCACTCCACCCTGGGTAACGGAACAAGACCCTGTCTCAAAAAAAAAAAAAAAAAAAAAAAGAAATCCACTCTCCATATGATAGCCAGTGGAATCTGCAGCAAACTGAAATGGGATCAGATTGAGTAGCCTTGCCCAAAACTGTCTAGCATCTTCCCCCTACCCTCATAATAAACTCCCAATCCCCGCAGCTGCTGACTAAGTCTTGGTGGGTCCCTGCCCGTGCCTGGATCTCCCCTCCCACCTTACAACCCTCCCTAGCGTCCCACTGGCCTTTTTGTTCCTGCAAAATGCCAAGACCCTGCCACCTTGGGCTTGGTCTCGAAGGCGCTCCTCAGCTGATTCCTCATCCTTCAGATAGGAGGAGGTCTCAAGGAGGCCTTCCAGATTTACCACACCCTTGCATGGACCCACCAGTTTGTACGTGAACATTTATGAGTGTGAGTCCTTGTTTTTTTTTCCTATCTTGACCACTGAATTATGAACAGAGGAGGTCAGGGAACAGAGCTGTGTTCCCTGCTCTGCCCAGCACCTGGAACAGCGCTTGGAACAGAGCAGTCACTGCACAAATAACAGCGGAATGGATAAATGAACGCAAGGAGGCAGAGGAATCGCAGAGGCCGCTCCAACTGGGAGCCCGACCCCTCACCCCAGGTTCTAGGGTCCGCGGCAGCCGGCGGGGGGCGCCGGGGAGC